GAGAGGTCTGTATGTATACTGAGACAGAGGTCTGTATGTATACTGAGACAAGAGAGGTCTGTATGTATACTGAGACAGGAGAGGTCTGTATGTATACTGAGACAGGAGAGGTCTGTATGTATACTGAGACAGGAGAGGTCTGTATGTATACTGAGACATGAGAGGTCTATATGTATACTGAGACAGGAGAGGTCTGTATGTATACTGAGACAGGAGAGGTCTGTATGTATACTGAGACATGAGAGGTCTATATGTATACTGAGACAGGAGAGGTCTGTATGTATACTGAGACAGGAGAGGTCTGTATGTATACTGAGACAAGAGAGGTTTGTATGTATACTGAGACAGGAGAGGTCTGTATGTATACTGAGACAGGAGAGGTCTGTATGTATACTGAGGCATGAGAGGTCTGTGTGTATACTGAGACAGGAGAGGTCTGTATGTATACTGAGACAGGAGAGGTCTGCATGTATACTGAGTCTAGAGAGGTCTGTATGTATACTGAGACAAGAGAGAGGTCTGTATGTATACTGAGACTAGAGAGGTCTGTATGTATACTGAGACAAGAGAGAGGTCTGCATGTATACTGAGACTAGAGAGGTCTGTATGTATACTGAGACAGGAGAGGTCTGTATGTATACTGAGACAGGAGAGGTGTGTATGTATGTATACTGAGAGAGGTGTGAGCTCTCTGTGTCCATCAATACAATGTAATGAATCTATGAAAATGTGTGACATTAATTAATTGTTTTCATAAATATTTCTTGCAAACACGGTCTAAACAACAGGCTGCCTCCACACCCAACAACAAAGTGTACGTCTGCACATGTCACCTCCTGTTTTGAAACGTTATCACACTTAAAAGAGATTTTGGTTCACGTGTATCAGCGCAGCGCTAACCCATGGCAGATGTACAGTCCGATATTCTCTAATCTAATAGAAAGTGATGAATGACACGTGTAAACATGCAACCGCTGCGGGACATATCCACAACACACAGTTGCTACAACAGTCTGATCGGTGGCTTGGAAAACCTCAATCTGAAGTCTTTAAAACATGGACACGTCATTTAAAGGTATACAGGAGGATTTTCTACTTCCGGGTGGATCATCAAGACTAGTGGTCCTCCCAACTGTCAATCATTCTGGTGATACTGGTGATACGTGCTCGTCCAATAAGACCAGAGAGTTTGGTTCAAAAAGTGGAGAGGGCGGTTCTTTGCTAAAATTTGGAAAAATCCTTCTGCACTCTTTAAATGGCCCTAATCTGTCAAAAGGATCATAAATCATCAATCAATAAATCAACTTTTATTTGTAGAGCGCCTTTCCCAAACAAGGCAACACAAAGTGCCTCACAAACCATATCACATCAGGCATAAAAAATCCAACATTTTTTTATGCCTGGTGTCTGTTTTTTTTTTTTTAAACACAGACACAAAAAGAGCACAAGAAATATTAAAACGTAAAAAAGAATATCACACAAGTAGATAAAAACCTCAAAAACTTCACACTTGGGATTAGAATCATAAACAGCTATAGTGCATTAAAAAAAGACAAATGTTTTTAACCTAGATATGAAAACTTCCAGAGCAGACGCCTGTCTCACATTCTCAGGAAGACTGTTCCAGATCATGCTCTTTGCGAATACGTCTTTAACTGATAAAAGTAATTCAGCAGAGATGTTTAGACTTCAAAATGGGATTTACAGCCACTAAATCTTGTTATTGTTTTCATTTCACTGTCCCGCCCTCCACCGTTTCACCAATCAGGAAGTTTGTGATCAGGGTTAAGATACATTTAGCCCATATTTGACTTTTTCATCACTTTTTTCAGTGTGGTCCTTTCTCTTTTCGATGGCAGAAAAAAAAAAAATCACCTCCAACACTGCAGACCTAACTCGAAACCTCCCTCTTGGCAAAACATACCAATTTCCACCTGGATGCTTGTCAAGTATGTGCCGAAAGGATATCACGGCAGCTCCATATCCTCTGTGTGACAGTGTAATTCCCTTTGCCCTGCAGCCATGTCTGCAAATCTCAGACAGTTTACATGTTCATGTAGCTACATTGCACTGGGGAGCGGTGACGTGCCAAGTATTCCGTGCATTCGGTTGATTTCTGGCGAGGCCCGGTCCAAGCTCTTTAACATGAGCTCTCACAGGTGGTAGGAGAGGGAGGGGCCAGGCTAACCCGCTCCAACAAGATTTATTCTCCCTTCTCTTTTAGTGTTTAAGCCGCGGTGAGTAAATAAAACTTTACTATACGCGTTGGCTGCCGTTCACTAAAGTATCGAGTTGCAGACGTTTTTTCGCTCAACGTAAAAAAAAAGCAAAAAAAAAAGCAATTGAGTGTAATTAGCGGCTCTTAGATTTCAGAACAGAGACGAGAACGTTTCCTTCTTGTTGGGAAATATTTAATTACGGATTGGAAGCGATGAGATGGAGGTTTGATAAGAGGAGTATGGGGAAATGAGAGCACAACACAAGGACTCCCAGAGCAGTCAATTTGACGGCTTTTAGTGTTGCAAGGGTAAGAATTCTCAACGTATGTACAAAGGTGGTCTTTCTGTTTCTACATGTAGGTTATTTCTATGTCATTTTTTTATGACATTATTTTATGAATGTGTGTATGGAGAGATTTTTGTTTTAATAGAAAGGTTTTATTATAACTTTTTGTAAATTAAATTGTAATTTCTGCTTGGTCATGTATCCATCTACTAAACTAGCACTGCTGCTACAACCTGGTACAATGTGTGAGATTTCATAACACTTTTAAGGAACTTTTGTTAAAGTTAAACTCATCATTCTATCAATGTGCAGAAGCCAGTACTTTTCCCTTGTTTTGTCTATCTGAAGGCCAAGCTACATGGCACTGTGGCAGCTGCTGATTGGAGGTCTCCATGCCTCCGCTCTGTATAATACACTTGCATTCTGTGTTCGTGTTGTTCGTGCTGTCTCTACCATCGACAATAAAACATGTCTTCTGTCTGAATGAAAGACGCGATCCCAGACTATGTCATCTTCTTCAGGTGGTGGAAGGATGCGGGCATTGTCTGTAACATCTACAGAACAGAAGACTACTTTTTTTTTACACAAAAAGTGTTTTTTTTTTTTAAGCCAAAACTGGGAAACCTCAAGAGAACCCATGCATCTGGACCAGCACACTTGGACAATCTGCACAGCTCCTGATTCCACTCAGGCTGTGAGCTGCTGAGACATGGACAATACCAGCGTCCTCTTTTGCATGGACAGAATTTGGAACAATTGGATTTCTGAATTTGGACATAATTTGGACTAAATTGAATTGCTGAATCTGGACACTGAAGCTGAAACGTGTGATTGAAAGACACGTCACAGAAGAATTCATGGCTCGACACAAATGCAGCCTGAAAGAATCAACACAGAGAAGTGGGAGAGACTGTTTTCAAAGCAATATCTGGAACCATCGACTGATGAAGTTTGGTATTTTACTGAAGATTGTTGACAAGTTTTATGAAAGATCTGAACATGTTTTATGAGTTTTCTGAGTTTTTGAAGTATTCTGAGTTCTGGGTTTTTGAAGTACCGAGTTTAAGTATTGAGTTATGATGTTATGTTGCTGTTTATCGATCCTGATGGTCACACGTGAATGCCTCCGCTCTGTATAATACACTTGCATTCTGTTGTTCGTGCTGTCTCTACCATCGACAATAAAACATGTCTTCTGTCTGAATTAAAGACGCAATCCCAGACATGTCATCTTCTTCAAATGCATCTCTCCTCTTGGCTAATGTTTATTGTACACTGTTCCTGTGAAAATATAAATCATACCAGTTTTACCGTTAACTCCCCCGTTAACTTTTTGACCGCTTCATTCATTTGAATATGTACAAAACATTCTGTGGCGGTGAAAGGCCTTTTTCTCCAGGTGCTGGTCCCTATTAGCAGTTAGCATTTGTTCAACTTTCGTCAAACTGTTTTTGTTGTATTTCACGTTATATTAAAACCTTAAACCTGACATTACACCAGTTCAAATACAAGTCACTATTGAATTCCACTGATTTGGGAGCAGTCAAAATGCTGGCTCTGGGAGTTCTGGTAGTTTCAGAATCCTCGTGTGAAGTGAAGAGTGAGTTCACTGATGGTGCAGGAGAGGTATGAAGTCCATACACCAGGGCACAGACACTAGATCAGTTTGTGAACATAGTAGTGGTAGAAGCACACAAAACGCACAACACATGAAAAGCCAGTGGGTCATGGTTGTCATTGACTCAAACACTACATTTCAACAAATCCACAGCCCTCAATTCTAAGACACACAACTCTTAAGCCTAGCGTACATCGGGCTGGCAACTGATTATATCCGTCGCATATGAGTTGCTGCCCCGCACACATCGACAATCTGACGAAAACGGGCAACTCCCAGTAGCAGACCAGTCTCGGGAATAACAGCGCGTACATCGACAGCAACTGGCCTCAACTACAGTGTGTTTACAGACATAAACTGTTGCGGGCTCGCAATACACGCAATACACACATGTTGTCGGAGCGGTGCATGGAGCGCGCACATCGGGTCATACTCCAAAACTGAGGACAACTATTTGCCGAAAAGTAGAACACGGGCAACTGACTGAAACTGGAGACCGACTGTTCATCTCCAGTTGTAAGAGCGCGCACATCGACCGATTTCGGCAACTGATCATCTCCATCATCTACTCTCAGTTGCCAAAAGCCGCCTTGCAACTAGTTGTCCCCAGTTTCTGTCGATGTACACTAGGCTTAAGACACACACATGTATAATGAGACAAAGATTGGTGAATGTAGATTCTCGATACATGACCTGGAGCCCATCACTCTGACCCTCACACACACAAACACACACGTACACACACAGACACACACACACGCACACACACAGACACACACACACTGACTGACACACATCTGTAAAAGTGAACATGTAGAATGATTCTAAGTTAGATTGTTGGTGAATGTGGATTCCCTCTGACCCTCGCAGACACAGAATGACGGCTGCGGAGCCTCTGCAGACAGCGCCTCACGGCCTTCAGGTCACTGGACACAGCGATTACGAGACCAATCTGAGAGCTTTCATCTGTGTCGGTGGGTCACCCTCAAAGCCCCGTTACAGGCTTGACATTCGCCAATTAACGCAATTAGCTTTTGGCAGACTGCCAGAGGTGTCACATGGCACACTCTGCACACTGAAAGTACCTGACAAGCCACAAGTCAGTTTTGTCTGCTCTCACAGGGGGCCAGCGACAGATCAGAGGAATGCAGAGGTTAAAACTCACTGGGAAACGGTGAGATTCAGATCAAGATTAAGACATCCTTTATGCGTCCCACTGTGGGGAAATGTCAGTGTTGCATCATCAGCTACAGAACAGTAGGAATGAGGAGCACATAGCACAAGATAAATGAACAATAACTCAATACTGAAATTAAATAAAATCTCTAACTTTTGCATTATAAACAAGCAAGTGCAAGATACTGCATATTCTAGTACAAGTATATATAGCTGTATGTTTACATCTGTACATGTTAGCAGCATGAGGCTCTGGTTTCACAGTGACACATGGTTCTGTATTGCACATTCAGAATATTCAGATTATTATTGCACAGATGAGTAAAGCTTCAACTACTTGGAACTATTTGATCCTCTCATCTGTTGTGGAGAAATCTTCAACTTTGTATTGCCCTCCGAGACGACACCTGCTGTGATTTAGGCCCATACACAAATAAACGGGATTGAATTGAGTTGAACCGCCCCCGTTATGTCACGCCGTCGTACCCGCTGGTGTTATGTGGTCAATTCTCTGCTCGGCCTCAGGAATGCAGCTCCTCACAAGCAGACCTCACATCGCAGCTCCAATGTCCCCAGATGGGAATTGTTAAAAAATAAGCACGCTCAATAACCGCGGGAAGGAAACCATAAATTCAGGCTTTAATATAAGGAGGAAAACCACGGTGCCGGGTGGATTGACGGACGAAAAAACTTCCCGGCTTCTTGGTTTTGAAGACAGATCCTAATCTTGTGTTATTCAAGATACCGCGGCGGTGTTCGGACAGAGAAGTCACAGACGAGGCTGGGTAAAAGCGAGAGCACTTGCAATTTAAAACTGCAAATGAGATGGCCGTTGTGGCACGATGTCATTGCCCCAGACCTCCCCTTTTGCTTATCTTTCTACACATCGTCTGGGGCTAAGTTATCAGCGCAGCAATTGTAACCAGGCCACAGAATATGCCTGTGTTCACGCTTGGCTAATTAGCTGGCATATGCTAACACGGTCCCTATCAAATTATCAGCGTCTGCAGCCAAGGAACCCACTTCAACTGCTGTAGTTTGGAAACGTTTACAATATAAATGAAGTGAGGTTGGTTTAGGATTCATTTTCGTTTTGAAATAATGTAAGAATGTGCAATACAGAACCACATGTGTCACTGTGTCCCAGGATACAACTATTAGCTGAATATTTCTTGCACTTTACGGATTTTTTTTTATCTGCTTCTTTATTATGCTAAAGCTAGAGATTTTCTACTTGCTTCTTTATTATGCTTAAAGGTACACAGTAAAAACGGCTGAGTAAAATTTCCAGAGTCATTATTTTTTTCCTCCAATTGAGTTCTTTTTAAACATTTTAGAGTAAAATAACCTCTAGCGGCCTCTAGAGTGCGAGTGATTTTTCAGAGATGATCAGAATCTCCTCGATTGGAGTAAATGAGGCCCCGCCCTATGTCCCGCCCCCAAAACTCAGGTCTTGAGCTTCTGAACCGCCGCCATGACAGTTTCTCGCTGGACACTAGCAGACGGAGTGTGGAAACCATGGATGTACTCATTTCTTTCTACGTCATGGATAGTCAAAAGGATACAAGGTGAGTCTAAATGCGTATTTAAAGTTTGTCACTTTTTTCAGTTTCATTTAGTCCATGCTGTTATCGCGGTGTACATTTGGAACACAGTTGTGTCTTGTGAAAGCTGCTAGCTTAGTGCTGTTACAAGTTACAAATACTGATATAGTGTTACATCTTCTGGCAATCATATGTGGTTGGAGTTGTACAGAGTTTATTAGTAATGGATTAATATACATTCAAAATGTAGAATTTGTTAAACTTATGTTAATTAGTTAATCAAATTTTGCGTCACTGCAACACATTCTTTGAGCTATTTTTTAGTGTGTGTATGTGTTACTTTATTCAAATCAATCTGTATACACTGAATACATTCTATTGTAAAACGCCTGTTGTGCTCCGGTGACGTAGACAGACGACCGCGTGTATTACTTTGGTGCTTTAGCATGGTTTCTCATGGGTTAGAATGGGCAAGTATTTGACACTGGGAATGAGCTATGGTGGCACGTTAGCATTGTTGTTAGCATTGTTGTTAGCATTGTTGTTAGCATTGTTACAGACAGCACAGCACATGGAGGTGACTCTAACATGAGTAGTTTTGTTGTTAGCATTGTTACAGACAGTGGAACACATGGAGGTGACTCTAACTTGAGTAGTTTTGTTGTTAGCATTGTTGTTAGCATTGTTGTTAGCATTGTTACAGACAGCGTAGTTGACTTTGGATGCAGTTTTAGCTATGTTTGCCACATAAACACTATTACTGTTACAACAGTGACCACATGTGTGTACTAAAATTGTTTTATGTCTCCTTAGATGAATGCTGAAGTGATGTGCAGCGATCCACAGAAGTACATCTGATATGAAGGGCAGCTTTGTTTTGCGTTATTCTTAAAATGTAGTAAGTGGGAAATATGTAATTATCTTTAGCTTCAGGGGCATTATAAAGTAAAATGCTTTGATAATATTACATTGTACTCCACTCTGAAATGCCTTGATACTTGTAAACAATCATAAACATACATTTGTTTTTGCAGTTGCAAAATAAATGGATATTCCAACTTTCAAAGTCTATGATGAGACGAAGACTGAGGTTGATGAAGTATTTGAATTTCTCCTCAAGAAGGAGCGTTTGGGTGTGCTAGATGTTTGTTCACCAAAGGGTGTGTGTTTTTTAAATAATTAATTAATTTAATGCTGTATTTTCATATATTAAGGTTTTTATTTTGACAACTATGACTTTATGTTGCAGATGGGTTGAGCTCCCCAAAGTGGAGATACCGAGGTTGACTCTGAGGACGCGATCATAGCAGTTTAGACCTGTCAATAGAACTGAGGATGCTCGTCTCTCACATGTGAGCTTGATGGTTATATATATATGCACCACACTATGTAGCTGATTAAGTTATTTTATCGTTACCATTGTAAACACTTTGTTTTATGTTTCCAGATTGAGAGCATCCCAAAGAACAAACCAGGAGGAGATTGAATCTTAAGCGATTATGCTCAAAAGCCTTACAGACAGCAGGAGACGTGATATGGTCAACATTTTGGTTGCGCATATGACAAATGAACATGGTAAAACATTGCTAATTTTGAAAGTTTCACTGTTTCATAACTAAAATATAACCTATTATTTTAAAGAAGTCCTTCAAGGCGTGTAAAAGACGAATATGCCAGAGGAATTATTGCCTTGTTATCTCTGTTTGGCAGATCCAAAGAGCTAACTTGGTATGATACTTAACTCCTCTGAACATTTGTATCCGAGTCATTCACAGGCATGTTGTCAAACTATGTTTTTATTTCAGGAGCACTATTACCGTTTTTCTGGCTGTGTCCTATAGGGATGTAAATCGGCGACCGTTTAACCGGTGGTTGACCGTCACAGCGTTAACCGGTCAAAGCTGTCGGTTAAAAAAGAGAAAAAGGGGAGAGGGGAGGTCTCTTAATAACGCTATTTTAAGCCCTATTTGCACGGTGTGACGAGCGGGTCTGTATCTAGCTGTGTGCGCCCATGTATTATAAACTCCGGGACGACTCTCACGCCGCACGAGCCACATATGCACACACGCACGCACACACGCACACACGCACGCGCGCACACACACACGCACACACACGCGCACACACACACACACACTTTCCCCCTCTCCATACGTAACATCCACACGCATCATCTCTCCCCTCTGTTACCGTCAAAGTTGCACACTGGCGCGGGTCAGAACTACATTGGAGCTTACATTTACACACACACACATATACATACACACACACATACATACACACATACATACACACACACATACACACACACATACCGGTCTGTCGCGCTCCTCTGTGTCACGGAGCCCAAAGGATTCGCGCAAATACGCGGCTCCAGTCAAACCACATGGAACATGTTTGTGTTTATGGTCCTCGGGATCAGCTCCACACACATCACTTGTATTTAAACTTTTGTGAAGACCTGTGAGACGCGTCACTCGCTGCTCTGACCATGTGAACGAGCCGTCGTTTGCTGCTAGAAAGTTTTGGTATTAACCCGCAGCACAGCAGAATGGGAAGATTAAAAAAGCAGTTCTCTGTGCGCAAAGGTGCCGGAGCTGTTGCGGGTTTGGGCGCCGCTGTCTCGGCTCTGATCCAGTAGAACGCAGAGCTGCACTTATGAAAAGTACGCGGCTCGAAATGGCTGTTATTATTTCAAAGAACGTGGACTATTTTAAACTACGCGGTTAACCGGTTTCAACCGGTTAATGAGGCTCGGTGGTCGGTCATGAAAATTCATAGTTTTTTTACATCCCTAGTGTCCTATGGTCCCAAAAGGACACCATTACCAAAAGGTTAGTTAAAGACTGTTGAGTTATTCTGTTGGAAAAGGTAAATTATTTGTATGTTTATTTGTCTATAGGTGGTCCGCATGCTAACTGAGATACCTACAAGAGGAAGATTGATCTGTGCTGGCAGAAAGTCTATTCTGTGAAGCAATTGCTCTCATGAAGCACACAATGGATGAAGCCATAGTCAAAGACAGTGGCGGCTGGTGGAATTTTCTACTGGGGGGGCTATGAATATGATGACTAGATATATACCAGCAGTAAGTAAGTTTACACTGACTGTTGTGACTGAAGCCTCACACGAGAATCAACAAGGTCACATGATCAGGCCTGTAGCTTTCATCCAGCTGGGATGAAATATTTATCTTCCCAAACATAGCTAATTTGAGGGCATTTTGCATGTGGATACCAGTCTGCTCATGCTTCTTTGCCTTTTCTAAAAAGTGCTTCAGATCAGTCATACCTGTCTTGATCCATGCTGGGTCAGATCCTGATGTTTGAAACAAGAGGCATGGAAAGCAAAATAAAGCATTAGCCTCGCTACATGCTGCTAGCCAAGATTTGGCGCTGAACCAGGTCCTGGAAAAAGTACGAGTGTACCGTCCCCCCCTGTCGCTGGACTGCTGACTAATGGTAATATTTGGCTGATCAGGTCCAAGCTCTTTAACCTCAACCTTCTCCTGGTATGATCTTCTCTCAAACGGTATTGTTTTGAGTGATCTAACTGAATTATTCTTTTTCTCGTTCTCCATTTTGCGTCTCTTTACGTTCGTCTCAAACTCCCACAGCTTGACCTGTCAATCACTGTAAACGGACGTCACAGACAGTGACAGTACAGGTCGCGGGCGATCCCGCCCCCTCAGGGCGCACTTCTCCTGCGCCCCCAAATCGTCTTATCTCTTGCATTGAAGAGGAGCTACTGCGCATGTACAACTTTTAACGAGAGTCCATAGACCAGGGGTGTCAAACTCATTTTGGTCCGGGGGCCACATACAACCTAATCTGATCTCAAGTGGGCCGGACCAGGAGATGCTCTACAAAAATATCCAAAAACGGTACAAAGTCCAACTTTTTGTGCACATAAACACATTTATTTAAAACTTCCTTTAAAACACTATCCTTTAATACTCAGTTTTTTGTTACAAACTTAAATGTAACAGTGAGTTTTCCATAGTGCAAATAATGTAGCGTATTTACAATATTACATTGAAAATGGTATTTCACAATATGTATATTAATATTTGTGTGTTAGCTTTGTTTTAAGGCTCATTACAGAGAAAACCTGCTCACAAAGGTAAAGTAGGTAGATAGAAAAAAGCACTTAAACACAGCACCTCAGTTTAACCATCTTCAGTGTGGTAAGGTCCATGGTTATGTTATTATCACATTAACCATCTTCAGTGTGGTAAGGTCCATGGTTATGTTATTATCACATTAACCACCTTCAGTGTGGTAAGGTCCATGGTTATGTTATTATCACATTAACCATCTTCAGTGTGGTAAGGTCCATGGTTATGTTATTATCACATTAACCATCTTCAGTGTGGTCAGGTCCATGGTTATGTTATTATCACATTAACCACCTTCAGTGTGGTCAGGTCCATGGTTATGTTATTATCACATTAACCTTCTTCAGTGTGGTCAGGTCCATGGTTATGTTATTATCACATTAACCATCTTCAGTGTGGTACGGTCCATGGTTATGTTATTATCACATTAACCACCTTCAGTGTGGTAAGGTCCATGGTTATGTTATTATCACATTAACCATCTTCAGTGTGGTCAGGTCCATGGTTATGTTATTATCACATTAACCATCTTCAGTGTGGTAAGGTCCATGGTTTTGTTATAATCACATTAACCATCTTCAGTGTGGTAAGGTCCATGGTTATGTTATTATCACATTAACCACCTTCAGTGTGGTAAGGTCCATGGTTATGTTATTATCACATTAACCATCTTCAGTGTGGTCAGGTCCATGGTTATGTTATTATCACATTAACCATCTTCAGTGTGGTCAGGTCCATGGTTATGTTATTATCACATTAACCATCTTCAGTGTGGTAAGGTCCATGGTTTTGTTATAATCACATTAACCATCTTCAGTGTGGTAAGGTCCATGGTTATGTTATTATCACATTAACCATCTTCAGTGTGGTAAGGTCCATGGTTATGTTATTATCACATTAACCATCTTCAGTGTGGTCAGGTCCATGGTTATGTTATTATCACATTAACCATCTTCAGTGTGGTAAGGTCCATGGTTATGTTATTATCACATTAACCATCTTCAGTGTGGTAAGGTCCATGGTTATGTTATTATCACATTAACCATCTTCAGTGTGGTAAGGTCCATGGTTATGTTATTATCACATTAACCATCTTCAGTGTGGTAAGGTCCATGGTTATGTTATTATCACATTAACCATCTTCAGTGTGGTAAGGTCCATGGTTATGTTATTATCACATTAACCATCTTCAGTGTGGTAAGGTCCATGGTTATGTTATTATCACATTAACCATCTTCAGTGTGGTAAGGTCCATGGTTATGTTATTATCACATTAACCATCTTCAGTGTGGTAAGGTCCATGGTTATGTTATTATCACATTAACCATCTTCAGTGTGGTAAGGTCCATGGTTTTGTTATAATCACATTAACCATCTTCAGTGTGGTAAGGTCCATGGTTATGTTATTATCACATTAACCATCTTCAGTGTGGTAAGGTCCATGGTTATGTTATTATCACATTAACCATCTTCAGTGTGGTACGGTCCATGGTTATGTTATTATCACATTAACCATCTTCAGTGTGGTACGGTCCATGGTTATGTTATTATCACATTAACCATCTTCAGTGTGGTAAGGTCCATGGTTATGTTATTATCACATTAACCATCTTCAGTGTGGTACGGTCCATGGTTATGTTATTATCACATTAACCATCTTCAGCGTGGTAAGGTCCATGGTTATGTTATTATCACATTAACCATCTTCAGTGTGGTCAGGTCCATGGTTATGTTATTATCACATTAACCATCTTCAGTGTGGTCAGGTCCATGGTTATGTTATTATCACATTAACCATCTTCAGTGTGGTCAGGTCCATGGTTATGTTATTATCACATTAACCATCTTCAGTGTGGTAAGGTCCATGGTTATGTTATTATCACATTAACCATCTTCAGTGTGGTCAGGTCCATGGTTATGTTATTATCACATTAACCATCTTCAGTGTGTAAGGTCCATGGTTATGTTATTATCACAGAGAAAGCATCAAACTGACCATGATTCAGTTGAAATGAATAAAACAACTTCCATAACGTGATCCATTCTTAACGACTGCAGCAGTGTCTCTGTGTAAAATACAGTCAAATGTCCAAAAATCATCACCTCCATTTGCAGCTTTGTCACTACACCTGTTTTTACCATCGGTACCAGTCCACACTGTCCAACACACCAGCAACAACAGCAGAACCAGCAGCAGCGCTCAAAACTCCTCTGATAGTTTCAGTAACACCACAAATGAATATGTGACATCAGTAACATCAGTCTCTTATCAATGGCAACATGTTGGTAAAAGCGAGTGGTTTCTCAGACCATGTCTGCAGCCTGTGAGAGTTTTAACAAACTCTCTCTCACTGTGCGGCTGCGATGCTAATGCTAATGTTGTTAGCACAGGTAGCTTCCCTTTACAGCAGCAGAACTAACCTCTCGCTCTGGGCACAAACAGACTGCTGTGTCTTCAGGGCCAGACAGGTTTATCTTCTGTTTTCTCAATTCTTCGCTCAAAGTGCCGTATTTTTCGCCGAGTCTTGTAGTTTAAGATGTTATTCCTCCAGCACCGCTCTGGTGGAGCCACTACAGACCCACTGGACTCACCCCTGAGCGCGGCGCTGCGGCGTCGCGTCGCGGAGCCTCGCGTCGCCTCGCGTCGCGGAGCGGCTTTTTAAAATGTATTATTATTATATTTTTACATAAATGAGCCGCGGGCCGTGTCAAATCTCTTGGCGGGCCGGTTCCGGCCCGCGGGCCGTATGAATGACACCCCTGCCATAGACGGCTCAGGGCGCAATCTTTTGCGCCCTGAGGCGGAAATACGTCCTCAGTCCGACACAGACAACGCTGATGAGCTTAATCAATCCAACTCAGCATAAACTATAAAGTATTTCTTCCACATCTGAAATAAAACACACATAAATTTCGAAATATTTTAATGTTATTTTTTTTTTTAACGTTTTATTCAAGGTAACATGGCAAGTTGTGAGTGGTGGGGCGGCGCCCTAGCGCCCTCTATTGGCCGGCCGCCACTGGTCAAAGAGAAGATGAAGCAGACATGTCACTATCGTCAAAATATGGTCCTGAAAAATCTCTCGGTCTTCACAATGTTTTCAAGATTTCTGGATATATCAGGACTGGTAAGTCACCTTAAATATTGATATTGTTAATGTTGTATCAACATTTCATTATGTCTTTCGTTATAAAACAGATAGAGCAGGACTTCAGACTTACAGTATGCTTGATGATGCTACTTCAACAAAATTAGCCAATTGTCTGCAATCAAGAATTAAAGCTGAGTCCACCTCTAAAGTTGAAGGTGAGTTTTTTTATATTGGTGAAAATGGATCGTGTCACAAACACAGTAGATGACTTCCGTTTGATCTTTTTCAGGCTGGGGCAATGACATGTCTTCTTCTTCTACTTCACCAGACATGTCTGTGACCATCTCACTGTTTCTCAAGGTAAGGTCACCTCGCTTTTTCTAACTTTTTGGAAGGGCTTCATTATTAACGTATGCTTGTTAATTTTCTAGACTGGGACCAGCATTCAAGATCATCTGCACGGAATCACAGAAAGGCATCAACCCTAATATTTGGATTTCTGTGTCAACAGTGTGCATGTTCACAAATGGAATGAGAATTTTCTATTGAGCAAGTATTTGGTGCCAAATAAAAGGGTATGTGAAAAAATGTTTGATCTTTTTGTCATATTTCACATTTTTAGGAGCTTGTGGAGAAACTATCACTCAAAATTGAGTTCTTTTTAGGGAGTAAAATACCATGGAGTAAATTTATAGTTCCTCTCGCAAGAGTAAAACTAGAGTAAGAGTCAATTTAAATGTTCTCTGCAGAGAGTGAATTTTACTATTAAAGAGTAGAATTTTTACTCTAAATTGAAGAGAAATTACTCCGATTAAACGACTCTATCAAAAGAGTTAATTTGACTCTTTTTAGAGAGGGACCAAATGTTATCAAAAATGGAGTTAAATTTTCCTCAATTTGAGTAAATTTTACTCTAGCGATTTTACTGTGTATACACTGTAGGAGGATGTTCTACCACCGGGTGGATCATCAAAACTATTGGTCCTTCCAAATTGTCAATCATTCTGGCAATACGAGCTCGTCAAAAAGTTTTGTTCAAAAAGTGGAGAGGGCGTTTCTTTCCTAAATTTTAGGAAAATTCTCCTATTTACCGTATCTATATATATATATAGATATATATTTTGGAGATTTCCTGTTTGCCTTTTTTTATTAAGCTTAAGAGATCTTATTTTTTCCCATTCCTACTGTTCTGTAACCGGTGATGCAACCATGAAATTTCCCACAAATAAAGGATCTCTTAATCTTAAAAGAAATGTCCTTAAATGTCCCGGATCATCACCGTCCTTAGACGGCATCTGCAAGGAACGACTCAAGGAAACTTTGGGGAGGCCCATCATGAGAGAGGGATCTGCTCCCACAGACAAACAGACTGAGGCTGTAGATCCAGGACTGAGGCTGTAGACCCAGGACTGAGGCTGTAGATCCAGGTCTGAGGCTGTAGACCCAGGACTGAGGCTGTAGATCCAGGACTGAGGCTGTAGATCCAGGACTGAGGCTGTAGATCCAGGACTGAAGCTTTAGATCCAGGACTGAGGCTTTAGATCCAGGACTGAGGCTGTGGATCCAGGACTGAGGCTTTAGATCCAGGACTGAGGCTGCAGATCCAGGACTGAGGCTTTAGATCCAGGACTGAGGCTGCAGATCCAGGACTGAAGCTTTAGATCCAGGACTGAGGCTTTAGATCCAGGACTGAGGCTGTGGATCCAGGACTGAGGCTTTAGATCCAGGACTGAGGCTGCAGATCCAGGACTGAGGCTTTAGATCCAGGACTGAGGCTGCAGATCCAGGACTGAAGCTTTAGATCCAGGACTGAGGCTGTGGATCCAGGACTGAGGCTGTGGATCCAGGACTGAGGCTTTAGATCCAGGACTGAGGCTTTAGATCCAGGACTGAGGCTGCAGATCCAGGACTGAGGCTTTAGATCCAGGACTGAGGCTGCAGATCCAGGACTGAAGCTTTAGATCCAGAACTAAGGCTGTAGACCCGGACTCTGTGAGAGTGGAACCAGAGCCAAACCAATGAAAAACTCATGCATGTTCATCTAAAACCATTAAAACAATATAAAACACATTGAGACACACGTATTGGGTGAGATACGTCGCGCCCGCAGTGTCGGACGGCCACGGCGGGTCATTATCCCTGCCTTATTGTGGTCGCGGTGGGGGAAGGAGGGGGCAGGGCCTGTCTGTTTGATCCCTGATCTTGTTGACCCCATTGAGGGGTTTAAAAGTTTGGGCTGACCTCTTCACGGTGCTCCCAGTGCAGGAGTGACAACAGTGGAAGTGGAGTGGGAACGCTCATGTGAAAGGTTATGGGGAAGTTTCTCTAATCGGAAGCTCTTGGGTCTAATGGGGCACGGACTCGCTCTGTGTGAGTGACAAATGTACTGAGAGTAAAAGGGCCGTCGCTTCATCAGGTTTTATCTATGATTCAGAGTTTTTCAATGTGGGTTTATGGGATTGTTTTAAATGAGTGTCTATTTTTGTTCATTATTTGTCAGAAAACACACTAATAAAAACCAACATGTGGGTCTGTAACTAACGGTTATTTTGATAATGGAAAAATCTAACAACTATGACTTTGATTAATGCTGCTAATGTACAGATGCTAACATACTGCTGCTAACATTTACAGATGCTAACATACTGCTGCTAACATTTACAGATGCTAACATATAACAACACTTTGCTAGAATACACAGAACTTTATACTTGCCTCTTATTTTGCAAAATGTTAAACTTTTTTACCCCTTTTTATTATTTTGATCATGACAGAGATTTTATACTTGTTCTTTGATGCTAGAGTTACAGATTCTGCTTTATTTTAATTAGTATAGCTATTGTTTACTTATCTTGTGCTCCTCATTCCTACTGTTCTATAACTTGTGATGCAACAGTGAAATTTCCCAGCTGTGGGACGAATAAAAGATCTCTTAATCTTAAGTAAATGATTAGTTCTATAGAATGTGGTTATTTGATTTTTGTATCTGAATTTAAGTAAATGTGCACTTTATTGTCTCCGTAGGGAAGTGAAGAGGTCTTTCTATTATTTATTAAACTAGAGTCCTGTTTTGACCCTACTCTACTCTACTCTACTCTACTCTACTCTACTCTACTCTACTCTACTCTACTCTACTCTACTCTACTCTACTCTACTCTACTCTACTCTACTCTACTCTACTCTACTCTACCCTACCCTACCCTACCCTACCCTACCCTACCCTACCCTACCCTACTCTACTCTACTCTACTCTACTCTACTCTACTCTACTCTACTCTACTCTACTCTACTCTACTCTACTCTACTCTACTCTACTCTACTCTACTCTACTCTACTCTACTCTACTCTACTCTACTCTACTCTACTCTACCCTGCCCTGCCCTGCCCTGCCCTGCCCTGCCCTGCCCTGCCCTGCCCTGCCCTACTCTACTCTACTCTACTCTACTCTCCTCGACTCTACTCTACTCTACTCTACTCTACTCTACTCTACTCTACTCTACTCTACTCTACTCTACTCTACTCTACTCTACTCTACTCTGCCCTACCCTGCCCTGCCCTGCCCTGCTCTACTCTACTCTACTCTACTCTACTCTACTCGAAAAGAGCATAAGTCACAATGTTTTTTAAGTAAATTAAAGGTGCCCACATCTCTTACAACATGTTAACTTCTCCAGAGGAACACATCATTTCTTTGATCCATGACTGTGCAGAGGATACTCCGGCAAACCTTATTTTAACTACGTCTTAAAGGTATATAGGAGGATGTTCCTGAATTGTGATTTTCCCAAATGGGCCTCGAGCAGGGGTGTCCAAACGTTTGATTGAAAAACTGTACAAACCTAAATTGTAAAACCGTTTTGACTGGATTTGTTCTGTTCTGAGCTTTAAAAAAACAGTCCATATTGATTGACACTCCAGCTACATTACTGGTCTGATACTCCTTCCATTTCAATATAATTTCTTGCACAGTGCTCCTTGAGATGTTTAAAGCTTGGGAAATCTTTTTGTATCCAAATCCGGCTTTAAACTTCTCCACAACAGTATCTTGGACCTGCCTGGTGTGTTCCTTTGTCTTCATGGTTTTCTCTGCGCTTTAAACAGAACCCTGAGACTATCAAAGAGCAGGTGCATTTATACGGAGACTTGATTACACACAGGTGCATTCTATTTATCATCATCAGTCATTTAGGACAACATTGGATCATTCAAAGATCCTCACTGAACTTCTGGACTGAGTTTGCTGCACTGAAAGTAAAGGGGCCGAATAATATTGCACGCCCCACTTTTCAGTTTTTTATTTGTTAAAAAAGTTTAAATTATCCAATAAATTTCGTTCCACTTCACGATTGTGTCCCACTTGTTGTTGATTCATGACAAAACATTTAAATTTTATATCTTTATGTTTGAAGCCTGAAATGTGGCGAAATGTTGAAAGGTTCAAGGGGGCCGAATACTTTCGCAAGGCACTGTATATGGACTCATGTGACACAATCAAAAACAAATAAGGTCAACTGGAGCCCAGAGATTTTGTGCAGCATGACTATAATATTGGATGGATGACACTGTGAAAGTGCCTCAATGGCTAGTTTGTGTTAGCAAGTACTGTAAATCCTGGCAAGTAAAGTATACTAGAAATAACTCTGGAAAGAAATTGCTCATTAACTTCCCCCCGGACGAGCTGGAGGAAGTGTGTGCGGATAGGGAAGTCTGGGTGTCTCTGCTTAGACTGCTGCCCCCGCGACCCGGCAACGGATGAAGCGGAAGAAAATGGATGGATGGAAGAAATTGCACATTAACTTCACTTGAATTCTTCGAGTACATTCTTAACTTGCTGTTGCACTGAACTGAATTGATTGCAATAAAGTTGGACTGTGATGTCAATTCATACATACATCAGATAGGTCCTGCTCCGAGTAGGATTTGAACTCAGAACCTTCTTGCCATCCTGCTTTCTAAATCCCTAACATTTTCAACACTGTACATGTTCAAAATATCAGAAGTGTGGCTTACTATAACAGAGACCGCTCGATTCAAAGAAGGCCCTGAGTGATATCGCTAAGCTTCAAATAAACTAACAATAAACCAGTAATATGGGAAAAATCGATTTAAAATAACTTTGATATCGGAATGAAGTTAGGGTTTAGCGGGCCATGTCAGTAGGTCCCATATTAGAACAGGATTATTATGGCTTGTTTGTTTTTATTGGTGAAAATACAGACATACAATACAGCTGCAGACATACACATAAATACATAAGACAGAAAGAAAGAACAGACGTGTGTGTGTGTGTGTGTGTGTGTAAGTAAGTAATCTTTATTTATATACCGCCTTTCACAGACCAGAGTCACAAAGCGGTTTACAATTGTTATTTTTGGGCACTTGTCCTCTCACTCCACACAGAGATGGGAGCGGGGTCGCCGAACAGGAGGCATATGCCAGAACTATTGTACATATTTTTAGTGGTAGGGGAAACCGGAGTACCCGGAGG